ATACATGAACAAACAAAAAAAAGGAAGGAAGGATGCAGGAAAGAAGTTAAACTTGGCTCATGTTTTGCTGTTATAAAACTACTTGTGCATCAAATACATGCAAACAGATGAGCAACGGGTTAGCAGGAGAACTCCACTGCTTACTTTGCAACTATCAAGGCACAAGATAAAATGATGACATGGCTGTCATCATAAAAACTTTCCAGCCTTGTGAAATCATGTCTCATAGCATCATAAACTGCTGTGCAGCATCCTGGCATCAACTGAGCCTTCAGACACGTGAATGTATCAGCCAAACTGCTCCACAGTCTCAGTGGTACCTCAGGTAACAACAGTGCAGCTCCCTCAGAAACGCTCTACCGTTTTCTGTCCACATGGTTTTTCCACAGTATTTCTGTTTGGTCCTTGGTCTGTTCTGTCAAACACCATTTTGGCTTCATGCTGTTGATGAATGCTACACCTGTAATCTGATTTTATTGTTACATAGAATTTGTCCGTTTTTTTTCAAATGTTCAAAGACACCGTTTTGAGCGGGAGAGAGGGAGGCCAGCGGCTGTGAGCAGCTTCTCGGAGCTGCAGCTTTATTCTAAGGTGACCAATTCTTCACAGTGGCTCAGTAGCTCATTTAGCGAGCTGCCTGAGATAAATTCCTGTGCAAGAAAGAGATGAAGGCATCCTCTGACACTTCAGCTACTACTGAGGTTTTTCATTATCAAGCATTTCTGGTCCTTAAGAGGCCACATCCTGCTCGCCTGTCCTGTAGTTTTATCTGTTCTATCAGACTGCCCCGAGGGAGCATTAACATTGTTTAAACTGAGCATGGCTGCATGTTTTGGTGGTAGTGGGTCAACAAAAGTGTCCTTTTTTGATTATTCATAATCATCATGCATTACAATCTTACTTTAACATCAGAAAAGCTCATAAGAAGCTACTCATTTTCAGGTCAGGGGTCAGCTGATGGTAATTCAGGGCTTCCCTGCAAATCAAGTGCAAACCTGACATGAAACTTGATCCTTGGAGAGTATTACAGTCTTATGCAACAGCCATAGAGTGTGCAATCAACACTCAGCTGGCCAAGAGCCATCAGTTGAGCAAGTGGGGCTGTTTGGACAAGATGGTAAGGTGAGGGTCAGTTTACAGCTATACTGGGAGATACTTTAAGAAAAATACAACTGCTCAACAGGCTAAAATTAGACAGTGGTGCTGAGGCAGAGAAGAGCATAGCTTCACTTCTGATCGGGCCTTTATAAATTTGGATTCCAGTGTCAAGCTGATACAATTTTCCAAAAAAAACACAAACAAAAAAACTCTAGTTAAAAGAGCATAAAACAAATCCTCTCTCTCCGACTGTATAAAGCGTTACAAAGCGACTGAGCTGTTAAAACAGGAACATGCTGGGTGCAGTTTAGTAGCAATGTGTTCCAAGACTGAGGCTGCTGAAGCTCTCAATAGCAGAGTGCACAGTGTGTGTGTGTGTACATGCGCTTTCTGAATCACAAATTAATTTATTAGACGGTTTGCATGTGAGTCAAGTGCTTTGAACAGCCGCCCTGGTAGGCGAGTTACGGAGGTTTTACAGTTTTCCCAGTTAAAGCCTACTGCTGCTTGGTGCCAACGTGCACGTGATGATGAAGCTGAGGACAGCTTTACTGTCAGTATACACTAGCTGCCCTAGCTTGAACTGGACATCAAGATGATTAATACTCTGGTTTCCTTGCAGCAGCTGTCTGTGGTTAATAGTGCACGTAAGCACTGGTTTGGTGACCTGCAGATGAAAAAATATCTAGACATGCAGGTAAAACTGAGTGAAGTCAAAGATCTGAGAACTGATATGTTAATGCTCTTTCAACTGTCTTTTAATAAAAGCCTGAAACAAGCAGCAGGTTTAACCCTAATGCTAAATCATACTTATCAAGTCATTTCTGTCTGGAGTCAAGTCCCAGAAACACTGCTTTCTTAAAACAGATGAAAACAAGAGGAAATCAAACAACCCGTCTCCAGGAAGCCTCAAGAATGATTAAGGCAGATTAATGCAGCGCACTGAGAAAAAACATTTTTCACTAGTTTTAAGAAAATGTTAAACCTATTCCATCCTCCAAAAATTTTTCCAATACTAAAAAAAAAAAAAAAGAAGTTGAATCACACTGTTAAATTCCCTTCTACCTCATAGAAGGATCCAGATTTTGAGTATGAAAATATTCCTCTGGACTCTGATGGATACAGGATGCCTCCCACCTCACTGAAAGGCCAGTCTCTGGGGGCGTCACAGATCACATCACTCAGGTGTATGATGAATAACGGAGCAGGATTTTCTTCCAAAGATTATATCCCCCTAAGTATATGTGAACTCAGATTCTATGAATACTGAGAAACTTTAGCATATGAATACAACCACATCCTGTTTCAAACCGCACAAGAGAAAAGGCAAAACAAATGTTTGACAGGAAACAGGATTTAAGGACAAGGCAAAACATCCACAGTGTAGCCATTAAGATGAGGCTGAGGCTATATAGACAACTAAACTTTAACATATCAACCCGAATTTAACCTCGACATCTACACCTTCTGACCTGCTAATGACCTACATGGTCCCTGGGCTGCAGAGACCCTGGTGTGGGAGAACGTTGCTCTGTACACCACACTGAACCTGCACGTCCTCACCCCAAGAAAACTGCACAGACTTGTTGGCTTCACTGTGCATGCCTTTCCCCACTACAATGTCCCACGGGGCTCGCTGCAGCAGTCTGGCGAAAGAGAACATCCACCCTGAAGAAAAACAGATGCACCAACTTTATGTCTTGATCTAATCCACATCTCGTGTAGACCGTCCACACACACTCGTTGAACTTTGCACGGCAGGAGGAACAGGACAGCCTAATGGTGGACCGTGAGCTTTTTTCTTCAAGAACATTCCAGCTCACTGGGAAAGACTTGGTTCAGAGGAACAACAGCATTAAAACATGACGAGACAGTCAGACAGGCGGGTGCCAGATCCACCTCTCTGGTACAGCTAACTGTTGGCATCCCGGCTATCTTAAACTAGCCTTTACAGTTCACTTTCCACCTTAAAAACCCCATCCCCGGTGTGCAACTGCAGGGCCCGGCGCCGCCATACACCACCACATAGACACATAAAACAACACGTATAGCATGCCCCGTAGCACCAAGCGGAAAGAGACAGGCGAAAATTGAGGAGGAGGGGGCACAAACCGGGACCGTAAACTAGCCACAGACGAACCGGGCAGGGAGACATGCAGAGAACAAGTCTACTTAGACGAACTAACCTATTTTGGGAGCAGCACGGTCCGCTGGATGTTGGGTTGAATCCGAGTTAAATCCACTACCAGTAAAACAAAGAGGCGAAAATGACCGAGCGACCGCGGAACAGGCCGAAACAGCACTCCTGGAGCAGCGCGGCGCATGCGCAGAAGGCACCCGGGACCAGGGGGGTTTGGCGGAATGAGTGCAACTAATTTTTTAAATTGATCCGCCGAGTGTGTTATTAATTATTAATGTTAAGGAAATAAAAGGCCTGCGTCAGTGGATAATGTTTTCAATGTGTGTGCACACAAAGTCATATCCTGTCAACATCTGTCATCTACATAATACAATGCTAATTTTAGAGATAATTATTATCTTATTACTGTCTTAACTTGATGCTAACTTGTCCCCTTGATTGCCCCTTACATGCTATTCAGCTTTCTGTGGCTTGGACTGCGTATTTTACGATCTACTGTATAAGCAAATGTTAAGGTAACTGGATTTCTCTCTTCATTCAATTAAATTCAGTTTTCCTGGGTGGAAGTAGAAGTCGAAACAGAGGGAGAGGAGGATTGAGAGGGGGAAGAGCTGGAGCCTTCTTACAGGCAATGGAACAGGTATGACAGTATTGATGTGGGGGCTGCTATTTTGTTCCTAGCAGTCCAGCCATGGAGGACACAGCCTATTTACAAATTATTTATGTTTAATAATTTAGATCATTTCAGTTCTCATATCTTGTGGGAGTGTTTTATTGTTATTGTTGGTGTTGTGAGGCCACCAAGACAAATTCCAATCAACAGTGTTGATATGGCAATAAAGTATTGAAACTTGAACTCTGGAGACTCCATACTCCTTGTCCTTAGCCTTTTAAATACATCATTCTGTAACCTGTCTACCCAGCTTTAATCAGTGGCTCACATGCTAATCTAGAATGTGCATTTCCTGGAGAAAATGCAGTGTGATTGTGAAATTTTAGAACTGTCTAACTGGCAACGTGGTGGGGCCACTGATAACATATGACATTGTTGAACACATCCCCATGGAAGATATCTTTAGTATGTAAGAAAATGATGGTCATTTGCTTACAGCAATCACACTAATAATAAGTAACATGACAATTCAGCCAATGTACACAATTCCTGAAAAAGCTACACAGTTTGTGCACAAGATGACAGAACTGGCTATAAACACAACACCTACTGTATCTAGAGGCTGGCTTCACATAGTCATACATTAAAACAACACAGGAGGTGAGACAATGAAATATGGTGCAAGAAGTGCAGCTGGAAGAACAGATTTGTGTGTTTAATGCTTGTTAGACTCCAAAACAGCACAATGGATCATAATACTCCGACAGAACTGTACAACTCTGGAAAGTTATCACAGCTGTATCTGTTTCATCTTTAAAGAGGTAAACAGCAGAAATATGGTGTTCGTGTTACTAAGTAGCTAATCCACCAGGAATGTGAGTGTCTTAAAGGGTCCTATAATTTCTTTTTTTACATTAATTTACTACAAAGTTTTGAAAGACAATTTATGAACTTTGCAAGAATATTTTACACAATAGTAGCAAGTGAGACAATGGTATGAGCTGATGTTTTTAGGTATGACCTCAATAATAATCATATAAATTAATATATACATTTATGAAATTTTCACCAAAAACTGAAACATTTTGAACTTCATAAATACAGAAGTGTTGCACTGAATTGCATACAATAGTGCAGGTGTACATACATAGAGTGGCCGGTGAGTGTGACACTAAAGATGTAGGGTATAACCCGTGTCGTTGTTACTACGACAGAGTGCGTCATCTTGTCAATAGAAGATCTTTGTTACAGTACACTGACACTCCACCTGAAACTGGAAGTGGTTTGATAGGTTTATCCAACTTTTAAGCCTCTTTCTTAACATCTGTTTGTGGCATAAAATGACTTTAAAATCCTTGACAAGATAACACAATGGACTTACTGTTTGTGTCATAGTTTTTCGCCGCTCTGGTGACCGAGAACACCGACACACCCTGTTTGTACAATGTTAGCAAACGTTACCGCCTAGCATAACCGATCAAATTGTCAGCCCTGTGAATACTAATGGAGAGTGGTGAAGACTTGTCTGAGGACTGTCAGACCGTCTCCTCTGATGTTTCGAGAAGACCAAACACAGAACTGAAGAAACGTCTGTTTTTTAAAGTTTACAAGAGGAGGTGGTTTGTTCTGCTGGTGCTGTGTTTGATGAACTGCTCCAACGCAACGGTAAGTTAAGTATATTCATAAACAGTGCTGGTCGTTACTCGACAGTTCCCCAAATTGTTTAATATTCCAATGGTAATATCCAGTTAGCTGCCTTAAAATGGGGTAACTCCCATAAATAAAATATTTTGTAGTTGTTAGAGTCAGTGGCGTAGCACAGAAATCTGGGTCCGGCACATTAGCAGCCTCATGGGCCCCCTTACCCCTTTAATACACCCGTTGTACTGTACAAATAACCAAATCAACAAGTGTTAACACGTGGCTCTGTGGTGATTTTCATGGTAATAAGTAATTAAACATTTTAAATGCATTCATAAAACTCTACCTAAAGTGAAATATCAGCAGCCTCTTTTTGTAAGATCAAGATCAAAGATTTTTATTGTCAATTCACTATATGTGCAAGACATACAGAAAATCGAAATAGCATTTCTCTCTCACCTAGTATCCAATGCCATACCATTTAGGAAACTGAAATAGAGTAAAGGTAGAGAAACAATAGACTAAAAAGAATAAGAAAACTGAGTCAAAGTGATTAGGATAAAGCTAAATGGTACAACCTAATAGGCTACGACTCAAACCATGTACAATCAGTGAAAGTAGTGCAAATAATAACAAGAAGGTTGTGAGATTGAGATGCACATGGACAGTAGTGCAAATAATAACAAGAAGGTTGTGAGATTGAGATGCACATGGACAGTAGTGCAAATAATAACAAGAAGGTTGTGAGATTGAGATGCACATGGACAGTAGTGCAAATAATAACAAGAAGGTTGTGAGATTGAGATGCACATGGACAGTAGTGCAAATAATAACAAGAAGGTTGTGAGATTGAGATGCACATGGACAGTAGTGCAAATAATAACAAGAAGGTTGTGAGATTGAGGTGCACATGGACAGTAGTGCAAATGACCAACAGCAGCAGATATGACTGTAAAAACAGTCAGCAGCAGATTTACATGTAATATAACAAGAGGGGGGAATGTACTGGGCTTGTGCAAAACAGCAGCGGTAACATATGGTAATTATTGTTTACAGCTTTTATTTTGACATTTAAAACGTAATTTATGTCGTTTGTTTTTTAAAAGGTTTTTCACTATATCCTCAGCATAAGACCTTGTGGAAAACATACTGCAGCCTCCATTCTGAGAAAGAATGACTGAAATGTCATTTGTGTGTAATATTTAATTAAAAGAAATGCTGCTGTGTCTTCATGTGTAAGTGTTATAAATGAAGAGTTGTGGAGAGTTATTAGTTAAAATCTAAACAATTGTTTGGAACCATTAAAAATGTGGTTTATTTAGGATTTAGTCCTGAATATAATAACACTTGAGGGAGCGGCTGTGGTGTGGAGTGCCATCTGAACCAGAGATTGATGGTTCAGTTCTGGCATCTCTGGTCCACATGTTGAAGTGTCCTTGAGCAAGACGCTGAACCCCTGGTTGCTCCCGGTTGTGTCACCGTGTGTGAGGGCTTAGTGCTAGCAACCCGTCTCCGTAAACCTCACTGCCACAGCATCTCTCCTTGGAGGGATCTCTTGCCCAGCCAGTCCTAGGACTAGGATAAAAACTGAACCTCAAAATTAAATGTCCACTGTAGAATTTCCTTTTAAACTATGAATTCAGTAGTTCTTGAAGGTGTTTTTGAATGAAATGTAGATATCAGTAATTATTGATATCCAGCTATATAAAAATAATATTGTCCTAGTCATACCTGACACTAAGGCCAACATCCTGTTTCATGCTGAAACATATCAAATCACTAAAATAAATCGGAACTTCAAATCTGCAGCACTGTTAAAATTTAGAATTATAGTACCTCAACACTCTTTAACTCTTAAAGCACAAACCTGTGTGCATTTTACAAATGCACATATAAACAATAGTGACTTCCTGTAACTGACAGCTGGTCATAGTAGTCGGACAGGTCTGAAATTTGGCCTTTGTCTAGTGGATGTGGTTGTAAACAGTGAATGTAGATGATGTGTATCTGTTCCCTAGGGACATTGTCATTGTAAAGCAAAGTGTGCCGCTCTCAGTCATGCAAACTGAGCTCCTCCCAGCTCCCACGGGACTTGTCCTCTCTATGGGAGCTATTGTTTGCTGGGGACTGGTGTTCCCACTCACAAAAGATGTTCAGCTGACCAAGAGTCATTCATGATGTGGCAAGTAACAGCTGATGAGCAGTTAGACATCAGTGTATCTGATATTAGCAGATCTATTGAGGGTTCACGGTGCGGTTGTCATGGTCTGCCGATTGTTAGCCTGTAAACTGAATGAGGATGAATTCTGAGACTTATACTTCATTGGATGTCAGTGTTTACCCAGATTCTTTGTACTCAAATTTTATTGGTTAATTTCTTTACTGTATGTGCACCAAATAAATAAGCTTACTTGGAAAAATCCACTCATGGCATGAAATCAGAGAAGGCCTGTAACTGTGTAACTCTTGATAACATGCTCAGTTATAGTGTAATATTTTTATGGGCTTTATATTGAGAGAGAGCGCATAGTTTTACTTTAACATGTAAATATATCTGAATTTTACAAATTCTTCAATGTTACCTGAGCTGCTTTTCTAGAAACTTGCTCTTGGTTCAGTAGTTAGACTTTGGATAAAAAGATGCTCTGCTCCTCATTCCTCAGCACCGGTGTCTTCACATGTCTGATGAAGAAGCTTTATTTTATTGTAACATTGTGACACGTACAATGAAATTTTGTTTGGAGCCGAGGGCCCCGGGCCGCTGCATGCATACGCGCTGCCATCACGGGCAACTTGGGGGGTTCTGTGTCTTGCCTAAGGACACTTCGACATGTGGACTGCAGGCACAGAGATTCAAACCTTCAACCTTCCGGTTGGGCGGCAACTGCTCTACCCACCACACCACTGTTGCCCCACTGATCTGATGTAAACAACATTCCTGTTAGCGTCACGTTAACTAGGTTTTTTTGCTCTGATCTCTTACACCAGGTTTCTTGTTTACATGACATTTAATAAATGCAGTTATAGCATCAGGCTGGCACTAATATGGTTACGTACAGTTGGTGCGTGTAAATGCACTGATTGTTGGCTTGTTAGCCCTGTAACTGTGGCACACATTCACATCCTCCAGTGTGACACTTGATTTGTGATCAGTTCAGATTTAGGGTTGTCAGGCAGCAATCTGGGCAGAGAAAGTAACATGCGCTTGCCTTCCACCACTGAGATAACCTTTGAGAATACTGGTCAGAACCCACGTGGGAATGTGTGTAACTGTGCATGTATGATGGAGGGTGGTGTTTGTCTTTATGTATGTTAGAGTCCTCTAGTCTTGATTTGCCTTGAAGATGAGCAGGGTGTCAAAACATCGCCATTTTGGATAAATCATGTAAGATTATACTGTCTGGTCATTCTAATTATTTTTCTTAAGTTAGTATTAACAATGATTTGGGGTATTTCCAAGACATGCAGATCTGATTCTCACATCCTGTCCTGTCATCCCAGTTATGGCTGACATTTGCACCAGTGGCACACCAGTCTGCCCAGTACCTGGGGGTCACTCTGGACGAAATCAACTGGTTGTCTCTAGTCTACATGGTGGTGGCCATACCACTCAGTTTCGGGACCACATGGATGCTGGACACCCTTGGCCTGCGGATCACGGTACAAAGCGTACTCTGGTCTAATGCAAACTGCTTTGTTGATTTAGGGTATTAGAGCTACATTTTCCAGAAAATGACTAGGCACTATACTGTAGGTAGGATGTGTTTTAATGGACTGTTTCAGTAATGTTTTTGTTTCTTATGAAAACAACATAATGCTTTAACCAAAGTGATTTCAGAAGTGTACAGGAGAGTTATTAATAGTCTGTAGATGCACCACACTGTGTCTGCTAAAAGGCTTCTGATGGATGCAGAGAGAAAACTAGCTGCATCCAGAATTAAGAAACAAAGCAACAGCAAATGTTTTTGTTAAGGAGGTAGTGTAGTACGAGTTGCTATCATGTATGGGAAATTCAGGAGCAAGTTATTTGACCTGGCAAGTTGGAGCTGCCATGGTACAAAGCCACAGGGATTTAAAATAAAACTGCTCCAATATGACTAAAAATTATTAATGAAGAAATGCAGACTTGAAGTAAAAATCTACAAGATAAAGACAATTAAGACACAAAGAGCAGAAACTGTAGGACAGAAAGAAACAAGTTTGTGAGGTCTGTTATATTTTCATTTCTTAAAAACACTGCCGCACAGGAAATGATGGAAATATTGATTGTTTACATTCTTGTTTTTCATGGTGACATACTAATTCATGTGACATACTAATTCAAGCGGCAGAGATGGAGAGATGCTGTGTGGCTGCAGTGAATGCGAAGACAGTGACAGCAATGTGTTTAATAAAACGCTGTACAAAGTAGAAGGGTGCAGCCTGCTGTTGTTAGCCCAACAGCTGTGCTGTCTCCTGCAGTTTCTGTTTACAACCATTCCAATGTGATTTCCCATCCCCCCTGCTTTTGGCCACTGAACACAGATAAGTTTTACCTGCACCAAAAGACACTAAGTTAAACTTCCTCAATAGATAATCCAATGAAAAATCTCACACTACTTGATTGATAGTTGATTTTTGAGAAACACTGATGAGATATCAAAGTTCTTAGCAGGAGGGATGAAAACATAGACCTTGAATCTGTTAGAGCGATTTGATCTGTCACTTGCAGTTGATCCTGGGCTCCTGGTTGAACATGCTCGGAGCATTGCTGCGCTTCTTTGGCTCCCCAACAGGCGAGAGTTTTAAAATCCGGTACCCAGTAGTGATGCTGGGTCAGACCCTTGGTGCCCTGGCTCAGCCCTTCTTCATTTTCACCCCCACCAAAATGGCAGCACTCTGGTTTCCTGACCATCAGCGGGCCACAGCTAACATGATCACCTCTATGTGTGAGTGATTTACTGTTAACAAAAAGCTCTGTTGTTGCAGCTTTAATGAGTCATACTTTCACCAGCACTAGTGGCTGATGCTCTCCTGACGATGATGTGTGAACATGCTTATATTGAAAATATAAGAAGATTTACAAAAATTATTTTCATTAAAGAAAAGAGAGCAAGAATGACCAGTTTCCAGTTATTTTCAGATTCCCAGGGGCAACTTTCTGGGTGTAACATGCTTATTGTTTTGATCCAGCTGTTGGTTTGATGCAGGCACATTTGACCATGACTAGTAAGTTAGTTTAATATGTCGATCACAAGATGTCTGAGGTTGCAGCTGAAGATATTGAAGAAAAACTTTCCTTTTCTAAAGCACCATATTTAGCTGGTGGAGTTATGACAGAAACTTGTGAATTTTGGCACCACTGGTCTAAACTTCATGTCAAGCTGTTGTCAACATGAACAAAAGGAGTGTGCTTGAAGTTTTTATGTATAATTTTTACAATTTGAAATTATATTTTGTGTCAGCACTTGTGTCTCATGTCCTGTAGCAAATCTAAGAAGGAACTGAGTCAGTTTCAACATGTGATGTTAAGTGCAGGGAAGCATTTTGGTGTGTCATCAAATGTGCGCACAGCTAAATGAAGGATATGTCCGGAGATAAACCACTAGCAAAAACATTATGGATCTATTGTGTACAGGAATAAATGGTTCTATGTAAAAACAAGAAAAGAATCTGTATGACTTAAAGGAAAGTCAGCATATGAAGCAAACGTAAAATGGGAAGCTATTGGAGGAGGATGCAGTTCACTAAGAAGATAATTTAAGATGTTTCTTGCAGATAGCAGTTGTCATATATTTCATGTTTTCACCAGAACTGAGATGACCGAAACATGGAACAGAGAATAGACTAAAACAGCACTGATTCTTAATATAGGGCAGAAACCAGAATCACACTCAATTCCACTTCTATTTTTCCTCCTCAGCCAACCCCCTGGGCATCCTCCTCGCTAACATCATCTCCCCCTGGTTGGCTAAAACATCTGCACAAATTCCAACCCTGGTGAGTTGAACTGCTGAGGATTCTGGTCAGGTGTCAGGTCTAGTGTCGTGATGGTGCTCAGTAGCTGGCTGACCGGTTCCAGCATCGAAGGGACCAGCTGTTGGATTTGAACTTTGGAATTGATGTGGACACAGATGAAAGCTTTCACTGATTATGCTTTTTATTACTTTTTAGCTTGATCAAATGAGTGTTTGTGAAAAATGCACAGCAACATCGGATTTGCATTCGTCACCCTGACAAAAACATGACTCCAAATTAACACTGGTGTTGCTCTGTAACTGTTTGTTATCAAGTCAGCAAAAATAACAACCTGTTGAAATATATCTTAGGACTGTGGTTTTGCCTCAGTTGGGCAACAGAAACTTTTTCAGCTTTCATGAGCTTTAATGAGTAATGCTTGGCATAGCTTTACTGCTGTTAAGTTCACTGAACCACATGCAGGAATACATAAAATGTATGAATGATTTAAATGTGAAAAACAAACAAACATCAGTTGGGCTAAATTGCATTGCTGACACAGAAATCTTTGTCTGTGCCTCTGGCCACTTCACCTGCTAATGATGATAAACTGTCTTTGATTTAAGGTGCTAACATCTATTTATCATCACATTATGTGTTTCTCCCCACCCCCAGCTGCTTGCCTATGCAGCCCCAGCATGCATCATTTGTCTCCTAGCAACTGTGGGGATACGGAGCAGCACGCCCCCCACGCCACCATCAGCCAGTGCCGAGTCCTCCGGCTCCGAGCCATTTATACAGGGGTTCAAACTGGTAAGTTTACAGGAGGAGAGAAAACACTGAGTACAGATGGATGGCAACATGATACAGATGTCCTTTAGGTGTACAGTCTGTAAACTTCAACTGAATGGTCATTCTGTTTGACCACCAGCTCAGGGTCAAATTCAAGTTACACCACGCCGGTTTGCATGTAAAAACACTGCATGTAACAAGTCCAAATCACAACCTGAGGGTGAGCTGATCAGTCGATTAATGGATTAAATAACCCTGAGGGCAGTCGAAGTTGTTTGGAAGAGAAAAACAGGCTCAAACTGTAAACATGATCACAGTTCACAGACCCCAGTCCCACAGTTGTTCACACTGTACAAAGAGGGGATATCATCAACATTTCAGATGCGCTCCCTTCAGTATGACCTCCAAACTAAGTTATTTTGATAATCTGGTAACTCTATTATCTGGAATGGTTGGTATAACGGTTATATAACAGATAGAAATGATGGGAAAATATACAAAAATAAGTTATAATAACATGAAATAATGCTTAAAATAAGACAGAGAGGGATTTGTTCCACGTATTCTTCAAGATCCACGATAGACACAGATGAAAAGCAGCTGTAGCTTTATCAGGTACAATAAATATATTGTGTATTGTCACAATGATAAATAAACATTGGCCCTAAAACACTGGACCCTGCAAGTCCCATAATGCACCTCCTGAGAGACCCTCCTGGCCTGATAAAAGTTCAAGCCTCCCACATCCTATCCACTCAGTTTGTAAGTTGCAGTGTCAAAACCCAAGCTGAGACGTCACTGTGGTAGTTTTACTGATGCTCTCAACCATAGGTAGCATTGGTCTGTCCATAGAAAACTCACTGGACGTGCACACTCTTCTCCAGTAGCATTTACAACAACCAGCAGCTCCACTGTCTCCTCTACCAGAGCAGGTTCAGTGCCTTGCTCAGAGACACCTTGGTGACAGCTGATAAAGAAGGAGGACACATGTTTCTCATGTACTTTCTCACTCTGGTACTGTTACATTTGTATAGTATGTGACAACTGTTAAGGAAGTGTAACAATTCTCTGAAGTATATTCTACCCCACCTTTACACCCACCTTATTTTATGTTCGCAGCATACTGTAATAGTTTTTTTTTTGCTGAATTCATTTTTAGTTTCATTGTCTATTTGATGTCTGTGTTCTTGTTTCCTTCGCTGTAACTGCAGTGACAGTGTCTTCTCACTCTGTTTCCTCCATAGTTACTGAAAAACAAAGCCTACCTCATCCTGCTGCTGTGCTTCGGCTCGGGCATCGCTGTTTTCACCTGCATCACCACACTGCTGGAGCAGATTTTCTGTGTGCAAGGGTACACCAATGTAAGCATACGACAGGAGGAGAAGACGTCATGTTGATTCCCATGTGGAACAATTTGATATTGATTACACCAGTTGGTATCAAATCAGCAATACAGACAACTCAGAGGGACCCTGAGTAAACTGATCAAATCTCGCTCCTGCAGGAATTTGCTGGCTTGTGCGGCGCTCTATTCATGGTGTTCGGCATCGTGGGTGCCGCTGTTCTGGGTCTCTACGTTGACAAGACCAAGAAGTTCATCGAAGCCACAAAGATCAACATGAGCTTCGCTGCTCTGGCATGCATCGCCTTTTCAGTGGTGAGGACACAACACAGGAGTAGATTAAGGCTGGAAACGTGTTTGGAGAGGTTTATTAGCTCATTTACTGTTTATTATTTGTTTCAGTAGTAATTATTTTTCGCAAACTCTATCCTAATTTAAAGCAACTCTGTGGAGTTACATTATCTGCTTAGAAATAGGCCTTTAAAACCTTAAGTTTAATAACTCTAAATTAACAGGAATAAACAAAGAACAGAACTGATTGCTATCTATAAAAACATGGAAACACTTTACTTTAAGCCATCCTATTTAGAATCTATTAATACATAAACACATAATACATGTTTATATCACTGTATAATGTAGTTGTAAGCACATATGGGGACATTTTAAGTGTTTATTCATGTACATGTCGTGTCATCATCCACTCATGGGTGTGTTTATATGCTGATTATAAATACTAACCAAAGTGTTAGTGAAAACATGACCCTCTAACGCGAGCGCCTTCTCGGGTAAATTTGATGGATGCCGCTTGGAGGTGGAGAAAAGTTTACACCGTATTTATTAGAAGGGGCTCTCCAGTGCACGTGACAGAAGCTGACGGTTAAACATAAAGAGGGAATGAGAAGGCTCATAGTGTTTTGACGTGCAAACACCTGGAAGCTCTTGTTCTTTATTTTTAACAGTTTCTTTTGACAGTTCCTTATTTCACTGTGCTGTGAATGCAGCACAGCTCAGTACTGTAGAGTATGAATGAAATCTCTATATGAGGTTACGTAGAGGACAGCTACAGTCCTCCATAGTTACTTATCATCAGCAGTCCTGGATCAACAGACAGTCGAGGTAGCACTTTATCAAGAATCTCCCTGGATCCAGACAGTCGAGGTAGCACTTTATCAAGTTAAAGGAAAAGAATCTCCCTGGATATTTCAACATCACACCACATTATCAAGGTTCAGTGTTCAAGTTCATCTCCAGTCAGTTTTCATGTGAACAACGTTTCTGGTACACAACATAAAGAAACAAAAAGGGCGTGAAACAGAACATCCGAACAAGAAGCAACAACAAAATATAGTGATGTGAAGTGAAGAGTGGCGTGGAAGTGTGGCATACCTTCTAAAGTGTTTATATTGTGGCGGTGAAAGTTAAGTTGAACCATGTCTTTTAGTTTTACATTTGAAATAACTGATGTCCTCCCTATTTACATACATGAGGAAGCTGAATATTAGAAGTATTTATATATTAGAATATAGTGTCATGGAGTCCAGTCCATGTAATTTAATTAACACCTCTATGATAAACAAAAGCTGAAGATTTTAGGCTTCATAAAAATTCACGTTATGGCAGAACAAAATTGGACTGTACAGGTGTACCTAATAAAGGGGTCCCTGACTGTATGTTATGTATATTTATACATTTGGTAGGTAGGAGAGCTACACAGTAATTGTCATACAGATGCCACTGTTTAACAAAGCTTTTCTGCCAAAAAGAATTTTACATTCAATGCTCATAATGTTATCCTGCCCTGTTGGTGTTCAGAGCTTTTCTCTCGCCTGTTCACCTCCCCTCAGGTGTCTTTGATGCGGCAGCAGGAGGTCGCCGTGGCCGCCGTCTGCTCTCTCTTTGGCTTCTTTGCTTTCTCCATTTTCCCGGTGGCCATGGAGCTTTCTGTGGAGTGCTCGTATCCGGTCGGAGAAGCCACGTCAGCCGGACTCATCTTCGTGTCAGGGTACTGCTGTCTGAGCACAGGATACACACTATGATCTCATACATCTGTGGAATCGCTGCTGAAAAACACTCTGCAGCAGTTGACAGTTAATGTGTAGTCCCAGGTAAAACAGAAATGGTGGAAAAAACGCACCACAAAGTAAAAAGACAAACTGTGTTTGTGCTGCGGTATAAAGAAGCCTTAAACACAGGGCTGTATTTACTGCACTCATGGCCTTGTGGGACTTCTGTGCTCTTAGCAGAATTTCTTCCATTTTTTCTTGGCAAAGATCTGACTAAACTGTTTTTAGACTCACTGTGTTTACTCTTCTTATTTATGTGTAAGCTACACTGACATTTTCCTTGTGATCTGTTTCCAGGCAGGTTCAGTCCGTCGTCTACATCCTCTTGCTCCAGTCTCTGACTGTTCAGCTCGCAGACTCTCCTCTGTCGACATGCGAGACGGCCACCCTGAGCTGGAGAGGTGGGTCACATGATCTCATAAAGGCAGGGACCTGAGGGATCTTCGATGGCTCAGTCACTCAGTCAATCTGCTCTTGACTCCTCATATTTATTTTGGTATAAAGCACAACAGAAGTTTAGAGCTGGTAACCAGGAGTGTTTGTGAGCAGTTTCTATATTTTGAAGCTGAGACCATTTTATGGGGGCTCGGAGGTGTACTCGTCCATCACCCAAGCTGAAGTCACCGAGGTAGTTGAGAAGCTTCTTGGTGGCAAGGCACCAGGGGTGGATGAGATTCGCCCTGAGTACCTTAGGTCTCTGGATGTTGTGGGGCTGTCTTGGTTGACACGCCTCTGCAACATTGCGTGGCATTCGGGGACAGTGACTCTGGATTGGCAGAGTGGGGTGGTGGTCCCTCTTTTCAAGAAGAGGGACCAGAGGGTGTGCTCCAACTACAGGGAGATCACACTCCTCAGAGGAGAATTTGACCGATAGTCGAACCTTGGATTCAGGAGGAACAATGCGGTTTTCGTCCTGGCCACAGAACACTGGACCAGCTCTATACCCTCTTCAGGGTGGTGGAGGGTTCATGGGAGTTTGCCCAACCAGTCCACATGTGTTTTGTGGTTTTGGAAAAGGCATTTGACCGTGTCCCTCGTGGCGTCAGTAAGTCAGACTTGTTTCCGGTGCATGTTGGACTCTGACAGGGCTGCCCTTTGTCACCGGTTCTGTTCAATATTTTTATGGACAGAATTTCTAGGTGCAGCCAGGGGCTGGATAGGGGTCTGGTTTGGGGGCCACAGGATCTCGTCTTTGCTTTTTGTGGACGACGTTGTCCTGTTGGCTCCATCAA